AAGGTAAATTTAGGGTCATGGAAAACTGGTGAGATAAAGGAAAAAGTTCTGGACAGTCATGGAATTTAAAGAGTTCTAAGGGTTCAAACCCTGGATAAGTTTTATAGGTGTGCTAGGTGTCCACGCACAGTCATCTTTTGCTAGTTGTTTTGTTTTAATATCTTTCCTTTTCTTGGAAATTTCTTGGGGAAGGTGTAGCTATAGGTAACATGATGGGTGAAGGTTAGACACCAAAAATACCTCTGCAAGGAGGGTTATGCATATGAATTTTACTGACCAAATTTTTAAAGAAGGTCATAAATTGATTTTCCAAACATGTCTGAGGGCAGTTAGCATGATTTAGCATTTTAGATTCTTGACTTTTCATGTCATAATCTATTCATAGTTCTTGATATAGTTCACAGTAACTACCTTGCTCTCATAGATACATGGAGGTTACCAGAATTTTAAGGAATTTTTTTTTTCATAGACAGTTTTTCAATTTGATTGGTATACTAAGCAGTTTTAGAGGATTTATACACACCAGTCGGCATTAATTCAAACTGGATGCATTTAATTGAATCCAGTTGCTGTTGAAAACTGGTAACCTACTGTGTTAAACTGCTCTTTGGAATCTTGTTTAACATCACTAGGAATGATAAGTTAGGAGTAGATGGGTTAATTAATAATTTTATGAATTTATTACTTAGAAATTGTCATTACATACTGATAGTTGCACATGAAAATCAACAGCTTCCTGCCAAGATCTCACAAAATGACAGGCAATGTCTGTCTTCCTTTTAATAAGGGCACTCACTAGACATTTTCCCCACAAGGCAGGTTAATCTTGGTAGCATGCTGTTGTTCCTCATCAATAAGCAAAGGAAGCTGTTAAAAGCTGGAGTTGTAAGAAATTTTGACAAATTTTTTCAGTTATGTAGGAGCTGCTGGTAATTTATTTCGTCATTGGTCGCAGAAAACAAAAACAAATCATTGTTTATCACTATTTCCCACTGTTTCACGGTTTGGGTATCAAACCAATTGGCTTTTAGGGTTAGGAGAGCAGCTACATGACCAAATTCATTGTTTTAAACATTTGTAATCCCAAAGGTAGTGAATCTCTCACCAGAGGATTACATTCCAAAATTAGCTTTAAATTTAAAACTTAATTAAAAAAAAAAAAATACAGGGTGTTATTGGCCCTGCGAGTAAAATGGGTGGAAAGAAATGATGAAATGATCGATATCTAAATTAGAAAGGTAACAATTGGTTTGAAACTTGATTGGCAAAAAAGCTTCCTTTGCTTATATTATATTTTTTAAGCCTTGGCTATTTTCACAATGGTGTCATACAACTACAACAGTGCTACAGTCCAGACTTATTTAGTTTTCCAAGGGCAATTCAGTGTTAAGACTATTTTCTATTCTTATTTTCTATTTTTTTTTCTTATTTTCTCTATGGGGTAGCTACATTTAACTCAAGGAAGGGAAAATAGTGTTAGTATTGTAGGCAAGTGGAGCCATTGTGAAAATGGCTAATTACATTATTATTATTATTTATCATTACCGGACATACAGCAAGCTCATTAGCACACTTAAGACCATTAATTAAGCCTTATCTAGCTTCAATTATTCATTGATAGAAACTAAATATTCCTTGCTTTTTCCAAAAACCTCAATTGAAATCCATCTTTTCACATAGACAGAGCAAAAGTTCAAGGGTAAGTAGCTGATTGGAAGTGACTTTTTTGGCATCAGCTTTAGGCTATAGGTGTTTTGTACTACCTAATTACCATCAAAAACGAAGCAAACAAAAGAAGAGAAGTCACTTTGGCCATAGGTATTACTGTTTTTTATGTCACTGTTAGGTTAACATATCTGCACTCCGTATTATTATTTATTGTTCCAGTTATATTTAATTAGATACAAAACCTAGTGCTGTTTTCACACCTTGCACAGCTGTGCTGTGGAGTGGAAAAAAGGAAGGGAATTTTAGAATAGGTTAATAGGTTTTCTTCAACCTAATGATACAAGGCTTTTATAGGTTACTGATTACTATCGCATTCTGTTAAATTCTATTTAGGTTTGATATCCTTGTCTTTATTTTTGGTGTTACCAAGTTCCTGTTTAAATATCCTCTTTTAGGGATTTGCTGCGATGGTTTTTTTTACGCTACTTTTTTAAAATCGCACTTTACTGGCCGGTTTGGTCTGTTGCTGTTTGCCTTTAGTGACATACCATTATATACCGGCGGCAACTAGTATTTCAATCACCTATTAATAAGTTTTTTAATTTTTTTTTCTTCTGGGACTTGGATAGTAACACCAAAAAAAGAAGGCTTGTTGTATTCGTTAAGTGCTAGTGAGCTTGCATAATTTACTATTTTATTATTGGTTACTGCTAGTTATTCTTATTTAATTTTTTTGTTAGGCTCTTATTTAATTTCAGACCTCAGGTGGCACACTCACAAGATTAGGAGCCCATCACTTGGGCAGGTCATGTTAAAATCTAGCCAACCTCGTCCCTGCCGGGCTGTGGAAGCTCTGCCTCTGAGAAGGTGCGAATTCTGATGTCCTCTGAGATATTCCAACTGAGAAATCCTGGGAAACTTTATCTGATCCTGTAATTCATGCTGGGGGCAGTTGGGCACTTGGAAGATTTGGCCGTTTGTTCCCAAGTGGGGAGGACAGCGTGGAGGAAGGTGAGAGTTTGCTTCTCATGTTCTTAGAGTTTCATTCATTTTGTTATGATACCACATCTTTTTCCCCGAAAATAAATAGATAATCATTTCGATCAAGAAAGTTGCTTGTCTGCAAACAATATGTCTGGGAATGTTTCACTGTTGAGGACGAAAAACGGGGGTGCAAGAACGTGCTCCCCGGCTCACGTAGTAGGTGTGTCGACGGATGATTCGAGGGCAGAGAACTGAGCACTGAATGGCATTGGCCTGGCTTGGGTGGATTTTCACAAATGACATCAAATTGAGCTGATAGTCACTAAGAATCTCTCTAATGGGGGCGACTGGTTGAGGATTTCTCTTCTAAACCTAAAGCTTTTCATTTCCTAACAATAAATAGCTTTCCAAAGTATTGCACAAAAACAAAATTAGCATATAAATCATTCCCATAATTGCCAAATTTTGTGCTGATATTTATCGACTACCTGAAAATTTAACTAAAACCATAAAAACGAAATAATCATAAATAGGTCCAAATTTATTTCATTTCCATCTTTTTCTTACCTGATTAGCTGAAAATTTAACTAAAACCATAAAAACAAAACAACGATCACAAATAGGTCCAAATTTATTACATTTCCATCTTTTTCCTACCCGACTAGCTGAAAATTTAACTAAAACCATAAAAACAAAACAACGCTCATAAATAGTTCCAAATTTATTTCATTTTCATCTTTTTCCTATGTCAGATTGAAACAAATTTCATCAAAACTAAGTTTAGGTTACATCAACATCTGTTTCTGTTTACCTGTTGTTTTTTGGTCAACTGAAAACAATAGGTAAACAAACATGGCTGTTGATGTTAGACTAATAATATCAGCTTTAGAAACTAAACCATTTTCGATATAAGGAAATACTTGATTGATCAGACAACTGTGGTAATCTGCTCTAAATCCTTATTTTTAAGAAGGACGTAGAATAGATTTCCTCTGGCTGTGTGAAAAATCAGGTAAACTTGACCTAAATTTTGGATAGCCTTATGTAAATAGCTAGAATAAACATTAACTTTTCACGCTGTAAGGCAATTTCTCGGTGGTGACTTCAATTGATGCTTCAAATTAGGGTTTCGGATAAAGGTCTGGAACCATATACGTAAGATCATTTTTTTCATATTAAAAATTATATATTTGGCTAGTTCCAGTCATTTATCGGAATTCCGATTTGAAGTATCCGTTCCAGTCACGACCGTATTTCCACGCTATTTGGGCTATTGTCACGGTCGTCACGCAATGCTGGTCAGTCGGCTAGCGTGACCATCGTGACTTAAGCTTCAAATCTCGTGGGAACTTAAAGATAGGACAATTTGAATAATTATTATGCAGAAAAACAAATATTTAAATGTTTAAAGACCAACTTCCAAATTTTTTTTAGGAACTGAAACATTAATTTTATTAGCTTCACATTTCTTTCGCACTAATTTCTTAAGGTAGAAATAAACCTTTATTTCAATGAGAGAATTAATCGAATTATTTCTACGGGAAGCAAAACAAGCAAAAATTTAAATAATCTGCAAGATCGCTTTAATTCCTTTAGTTTGGCGAAATTTAACGGCGAACCTACGCGGCACTGATTTAAACGAATTCAACATTAGATTATAAGGGTAACCAATTTTAAGATATAAAACGAAATATTTAAAGCAAAATTTACGCGGCACTGTAACAGTACTGCGTAAATTTTGCTTTTTAATGTTTCGCTTTATTACTTTCAGATAATTTCGACTCTTTAGAATAACAGCAATAATAAACGACGCGTAAACAATCCGAGTAATTTTCACTTCCAAATTTCGTTTTATGTAGGTCTAAACACTAAATAATAAACAATAACTAGGACGAGAGAAATCCAATATCAGTAGCTTCGCAGAGGAGAGATTATTATTGACTTGTGCTCTTTGGTGAAGTTTGTGGGATGAAGGTCGGTCAGACCAGCGCGATTCTTTGTTCAATTTTCTGGGCATCGATGACGGAGACCCACTGAAGACTGAGTTTCACTGTCTTGCGCCCTCTTTTTTCTTGTCCACGACTTTGGATATTTTTCACGATATATTGACTTTGCAGACACGCACTTTCAAACCAAAATTATAATTTTCACTACAAATTGTTTTGGCTGATTTTAATTCCAAATTAATTTGGTGTGGTATTGTGACAAAGTTGAATGAGACCCTGAGGGCATGAGGAGCAAACTCTCACTTTCCTTCACGCTGCCCTCCCCACTTGGGAACAAGCGGCCAAATTTTCTAAGTGTCCAACTGCCCTCAGCTTGAATGAAGGGATCAGATAAAACAGACCAGGATTTTAAAGTTGGAATATCAAATGAGGACAGAAGAATGAACACTGACTCGGAGCAGAGTGGAAGCAGCCCGGCAGGGGCGAGTTGGCTAGATTACTTTTTTTTTATAATTTTTTTTATTGTAAATAAATGGACAACAGAGACAATCTTTATTCCTTCAATAAAATGTTATCTTCAGTACCTGTGCTGTTTACTTTGTAATCCAACTATTTGAGTGAGCCAGATAAAAGGCTCGGACACATTGAAACATTGCGCGAAGTAAAGACTGATTTTACTAGCGACATAAACACAAGCATAAGTTTAGCGAGAGATAGTTTAGACACAAACCTAGGAAAACGTACACACTTACGCTTCGTGTTCTCAACACCAATTAACGCAACAAAAGCGCAGGCTCAAGAAAAACAAACGAATTTGTTTCACTTTTTCCTGTGTTTACGCTTAAATTGCGTGAATTAGTAATAAGAACAACATCAGAATAAGTGCGTTCATTTTCCTCATGTTTGTGTTAACGGTTATGTTGTTGATGACTGCTCTTAGTTGTTCCAAGTGTGCTTGTGTTTATGCCGCCAGTATAAACCAGTCTTTAGTTACATCGTTTTTCCACCCGCGCAATTGTTGCGTACGATGTTGTAAAAGGAAGATCGAATTTGGAAATATTCTTCTACGTTGGGTACAATAATATAAAAGGAAGATCGTATTTACAAATGCTCTTCTTTACACATCGCACGTAACAACTTCAGGGTTAGGAACACGATGTAATCTTACTGCGCACAATGTTTCACCGTGTCCGAACCTTTATAAAATATTTAAGCCAAGTCCTGCATTTTTTAATATCTCGACTAAGCTTGGAACTAACATTTAGACGACTAAGTAGAGCGGCTTGTTTTCTCGGCTGTATATAAATACGCGCTTTCAAAACAAAAATACGAGGAATATATTGCTGTCATCTAAACGGTTTAAAACATGTGTAGTCTTCTCCACGGTCATTTTTTGGGTCGTGAAGCGAAGGAAATAGGTTTGGACACCAATCCTTTCTCTATGATCCGAAAACGGCCGTGACGAAGGCTGAATTTGTAGCGAGTCCAATTTAAATTAGCATGAAATATTCCCGAATTTATTACATTGCTGATGAAAACAATTTGAAAACAAACCGCTTACTAAAGTCAATCTAAAATTATTTACCAAAGCTTTATCAAAACCTTACTTTATTCCCATGTTGAAATGTCATTTCTCCTTACTAGCTACTGCGCGAATCCTAATGCACGCTTTGAGAATGTATAGTTTCATCACACAAAAAATATTCAATTTTCTTCAAATCTTCTATGCAAATCCAAATCCAATAATCAATGCGTGGCAAACGTATGGAGAAATAACAAGCTGATCACCCTTGGAAATACAAGAAGGTAGAGTACATACTCAAATCTCTCTTCCTTGCCTCCTCAGAAAAATGAAAACTTTTACGCTTCCTCACCCGGGTACCCGGGAGTGGGGGTGGGGGACGGGGGTTACTTAGGTTAATTTTTGCTGGGTATGTGCCACTGGCCTCTCAGAGCCCCTACCCCATTATAGTCTATTCTGTGGCCGACTGTATACCCCACCTTAGTCACTTCTGGGCACATATGTAATTTTTGCGATCCCAACTTTTAGATTGAATGAGGAACACTTAACTTTTCATCCCCAGTACAAACATTCTGGTACGTTTGTTAACTGCACTTTGGATGTGCAAGATATTATATGATGTTTTGATTTCTTAAGGAATAAACAATAAAAAAAATTTACAAACACAAGTCCAAAAAAATCTCACGTTAAATTCAGTCAAAACAGAATGTTTACCATGAGTACAGTTTGAAAAGTGCCAAAATTGTAATTGAATTCTAACAAAGTAAATTTGAAGATAGCCAAATTTGCTATCCAGGAAAATTAAACGCAGAGAAATGATTGCAATTTTGGAGAGTAAAATATTTGGATGTTGATTGGGAATCATTTTAAAACAATAGGAGACATTCTTGAAGATCTCAAATTGTAACAAATCCGGGATTAATTTGACAAGCAATCATTTTGGTTTTCTATTATCCATTTAAAAAGCTGCAATTCAAATTAATTTTAAACCTTTAATTGACATTTCAGTAGCTGTCTGAGAAATTTGGTTACTACATCACGATAAAATGCCTGAGAAAGGATTATTCAACTCCACAAGAAACTTAGGTTATTGGATAGGCTTTATATCAAGACTTTGAGATAAAGGGTACCCAGTAATAGTCTCTACCACATCAATAGGGAATTATTCAATGAAGCCATTTCCCTGGTATCTCTTCATTGCACGCCTTTTTTTTTTCAGTGGAAGAGTGGAAAAGCAAGAGAGATTTGAAATGCACCCAACAGTTTCCGAGTAAATAAAGAAATAAAATAGCACAGACATGTAATCTACCAACATCACAAATTAAGGGCTTAATTGTCATCTGAAAGGTAGTTCTGTAGTCAGTAATACGTCATTCAGTCAACTGGTTTAATCAGTCTTTCCACAAGTAATCTATCATCAGTTTTGGTCACGAAACCACCCTTTCTGACCAGTCAATTTTCTGTGTCAGTCAGAGGACAATGTAACATTTGATTGCTTAGCCAGTCATGAAATCATGAACGCAGCTACTACATGTAAGCCATTCCCTCATGAAAATGATTTTTTTTGACCAAAAACATCATTAATGAGGAACATTCTGTCATTCATTTATTCAGTCAAGCAGTCAATCTGCCAGTCAGTCAGCTAGTTAGTCAGACAAACAGTTAATCAGTCAGAAAATTCATGCAGTTAGTCATTCAGTCAGCCAGTCAGCCAGCTATTCTGGCAGTCAGTTGGTCAATCAGTCAGTCGGTCATTAAGTCAGCCAGTCAGTCAGCTACAATATTCTGGCAGTCAGTTGGTCAGTCAGTTTATTATCAGTTCATTCAGTCTGTCAAGCACTCAGTTAGTCAATCAGTTAGTTGGGCAGCCAGTTTATTAGTCAGTGACAGACAGTCATTGATGAGTCTGGCAGCAATTTTATAAGTCAGTTATCGGTGGTCAGTTGGTGAGTCAGTCATTCAGACATTCAATCTGTCAGATAATCAGTCAGTCAAGCAGTAATCAAGCAGTCAGTTAGTCATTCAGTCTGCCAGTCAGTCAGTTAATCAGTGAGTCATTCAGTCTGTATGTCAGGCAGTCAGTTCATCAGTCAGGCAGTTGGTCAATCTGCCATAAGTCATTCAGTCTGTCAGACATTCCATAAGTCAATTAGTCAGTCAGTTGGTCAGTAACACATTCAGTCAGTTTGCCAGTCAGTTTTTGGTTAGTCAGTCAGTCGGCAGTCAGTAAGACATTCAGTCAGTTAGTCAATCAGTTGGTCAGTCAGTTAGTCAGTAAGATATTCATTGAGTTAGCCAGTCAGTTGGTTAGTCAGTTAGTCAGTCAGTTGGTGGTCAGTTAGTCAGTAAGACCTTCAGTCAGTCGGTCAGTCAGTTGGTTAGTCAGACCTTAACTTCAGCAGCAAAAGCCTCAGAGCTCTCTAGTTTTATATCTGCACGTTTGAAGTCAATCGTGACAGTACAACTCACTGTACGAAACGCTGGTCAAATTGAACCTTAAAATTTTAAGGTAACACAGTGGTGAAAGTTAACGCACAAATAGAGGAAGAGTGCTGACAGACTATTTCCGATTTGAAAGGGCATTCTTACCCAAAACTTAACTGCAAGAAGCTGAGCAATCAGAAACATACAGTGAATACAGTTAGCACTGCAAGATGAACAACTTTACACTGAATGCGGGGTAGGTTAAAGTAATGGACCGTGTAAGAGGTAGGTACTGAATGGCAAAAAACAACTTTTTTTAGCTCTATTTTCCCCATTTCCCTGTCTTATACCTCATGACCAAGTTTCAGCATTGTTCTATGCGCCAATCAAAAGTTAAAGCGGAAAATGTGCAACACACGCAACCTTGTTAGAAAATTTGTCTTTTACCAGAAGAACTCTCACCATTTCTTTGTTAAAAATCTAATTGATTGAATATTTATTTCAAATTTACTGTACTTCATCATTGGAGTGATTGTCCAAATTCTCTTCAGCATGGTTTGCCACTGTCCTCAACATGCCAAGTCACCATATGGAAAATTGGGTCAGGTCTGATTAGGTATGCCTTAGGTATGCCTTACGTATCATATAAATAGCTGTCACTGGTGTTTGAGTTTCTGTTGATAAGGAAGATCTAGTAAACATGACTACGAAGCTTGCCTAAATTCATTTTTTCCAAGGAAGAGAGAGAATGTACCTTATGCAGTATTCTTGTCCATGAAGTTTACGATCTATTAATGGGAACAACCCTTAACAAAGCAACTATCTGAGTACCTCAAAAGATCATTAAACTAGCTTCAAGTCATTTATGTGAATCCTTAACCTATATTTTTAACAATCCTTACAACAGGGTGTTGTTCCTGATATTCTGAAAATTTCAAAGGTTACACCAATTATTGACAGAGGAGGGGAGGTTACAGATCCTAACAACTTTAAATATTTGAAAAACTTATACATAAGCAGCTTATCAGCTATATCGAGAAGCAAAAAATTCTTTTTCAATTTCAATTTGGCTTTTGAAAAGGACATTCAACTGCTGAAGCTATCACTGAAATCACAAATACTGTAAGGAAAGCCATTGACAATAATTTATACACTTGTGGTGTCTTCTTAGACTTTTCAAAAGCTTTTGATATTGTAAATCATAAAATTTTGTTGGGGAAATTGGACACTTATGGAATAAGAGGTATACCTTTGAATTGGTTTCAAAGTTACCTTTCGAATAGAAAAGAGTATGTGGAGTTGGATGGGATTAAGTCCCAAAATCAGACCATATAATGTGGAATTCCTCAAGGGAGCATCCTCAGACCTCTCTTATTTCTAGTCTACATTAATGATTTGCCAAATAGCCAGAAAAATTAAGTTTCAAAATCTTTGCTGATGATATCGATACTAATGTATTTTGCATCTGCAGGGCGGGACCTTAAAACACTTGAACACGTGATGAACTCTGAACTATCCAAGGTGAAAAGATGGTGTGATATTAACAAGTTATCTTAATCTATCAACATGAGCAAAACAAACTTCATGATAGTTAAATCCACTAGAAAAAAGGACGTCCCAATCAGTCTTAACATAAGAAATAGTGATGGGTCCTTTTATTCATTAGAATGAAAGCAATGTATAAAATACCTAGGTGTCATGATTAACGAGTCTTTAAGCTGGAAATATCACTTATAAGACTAATATTTTTTGCCACAGCATTTGGTAGTGAAACAGAGAAAGCCAAACCTTTGCTTAATCTACTGGGCCTTTTAACAGCTGATAATATTTATCACCTACAAGTCTCAAAATTTGTGCATTCGTGGCATAAAGGCTGTATGCCTGAGGTATTCGACAACATATTTCAATATGCTAGTGATATCCATTGCAACAACACGAGATATACAGCTAAGAAAAATTTTTATAACCTGACCATACCAACAAACGTAGGCAAACAATCAATCTCCTTTATGGCTATAGACATTTGGCAGGATCTCCCAACTCATTTAAAAAACTCAAGTGAGACTGCATTTCCGAAGAAAATTATACTCTTTCTACTGTCAGAACAACAAATGAAATAATTTTTCGTCTTGTTGATGAAGCAACATAGTTCACATAAATATAAGTTCAAGATTCCTACTTTGTTTTGTTTTTCTTTTTTTCTAGTTGTATTTCCTTTGATTTTACCTACTACCTCGAACCTAAATTGTTCAGGGAGCTAACAAGAAAACCAACTGGTTCATTTAGCTTCCTAGCTTGTACTTTATTCTTGTTACATTTAATAATTATATCTTGCAATCACTTTAACTTCCTCGGGTTTGGTGCATAGAAATCTTTTCAAAAAATTTTAGATATGTTTTTTTAACATAACAAAGCAATAGATGAAACAAAAAGTTGTTCGAATGAATCTAAAGCTATCTTTATTCAGTTCTAAAATTCGAATTTCCCCCTTTTTGCTGCTTTGTCATTGACCAATCAGAGCATTCAGATTTAATTTGATTAAAGAAATTAGCACCTGAAAAATAACTGATGCTATTGTTGCAGGCTATTGTTTTTCTGCTTCTTAGCTGAACCATTACTTAAGAACTTAACAAAGTTACTGTGTATTTACCCTTTTCTTTTCGAATAAAAATCTCAACAAAGAAAAATAATTATAGCATCTACGGAAATCTCTCACCAGTTTTTAGCACCAAAGGTTCCCATTTTTAGCAGAAATAAAATAAAGCCACCAACTCCAGTACTTCTAACCATCAACTTTTCAACTGCAATGACAACCCTTGTACTAGGTAACTTATTATTATTATTTTTTAGATTTGCCACCTCATTAGATGAGTGTCATATTTTTCTTCATCTTTATTGCCAAGTGGCAAACTTCCTGACTTCAAACTTGCAGATATAAAACTAGAGAGCCTGAGGCTTATCAGCTGAAGTTAGGAGAAAATCTGTCATAGGAATTTTGAAATTATTTACACTTTTTGTAAAAATCTGCTTTTAAATAATATATAAATGCTGATATCTCAAACGTTTTTATACCTACAAGACAATAAATAACATTTTCTTAAAGTTCCATTCTTTACTTACGACACCAAAAATCATAGAAATCGGTTAAATCCTTCCTGCTGAAAATGTGATTCAAAAATGTAACCAACATGCACATAAATAGGTTCAGGCCACCTTAATTTCTCAAAGTTTCCATCCTAACAACAACATTGTACCCATGGTCAGAGGATGAACTTGTAGTGAACTCAGCTGATAACAAAAATAATCCATGGAGTCTTAAATTTGCACTTCTACCAACCAAGCACGACACTTTACTGAGAAAACTATCCCTAAGTAAGCTTGAAATAGCCATTTGCAGTCCTTTCATTTTAAGTCCAACTGCCGGATTCAGTCAGTCATTCAGTCAATCAGTCAAAAAAGCAGTTAGCAGTATGAGTAATAAATTGTTTATGTCAAGCTGATTGGTTTGGTAGATAACACGTCTGAACTAAGGCTTGCTGCAGAACTTGGCTTTTGGTTATATTTTATTGGCAAAGCTGTTCAAAGTAAACCAATGTTAATCCAGTTTACAACCTAAGTTTGACCCCGGCATTAAACTAGCGAGCACTAATGCTGTTGCTGGTTATGATGAGAAAATGAATCAAAGGCTAAAAAAAACAACCTGGCGCATTCCTCACACTATGACTAAGGAAAAAGTTTGTCTCGATAATAAATTGTTATCCTGGACTAACATGAATAAACGCTGAACAAGCAAGACCAATTTTTTTTTTACCTGGTTCACTGAAGAGGTGGATTACAAAGTAAAATGTACAGCACTTACAGTACTGAAGATAAGCTCTATTAAAATCCTGGCTGTTGAAGTCCTAATCCTGTCTGTTGTGGCATCTGATCTGAAAACAAAAAACATTAATCCAATTGAAATTTATTATATTTTTATTCCTTCTTTTACAAATACAAATTACAAATTTAACAACTCTCCTAGATTCCCCAGCAGCAGTTTCCTTGATAGATGGAAAATTGCTGGCTGAGGGGGGTGGGGTACTCTACAGAGTTTTATACAAGGTGGCTCCACCCTATGGTCCAACCTCGTACCCATTTATAAACGACTCCTGATAAAAACAGTACCCCTTTCAAACACTTTCCATTGAAAAAGGGTGCCCCTTTCACATACCTAATATGTGGCATTAAGTGAATTAAAATGATACAGCCGAAAGATATCTGTTTCAGGGCCCTTTTAATACTTAAATGACAGATTTTTCTACCCTTTCAACTCATAATACATGTATTCCTACCCTTTCATATACCTGAAGCCTGAAAAAGATACCCCTTTCAGGTAGAGCCCTTCTGTAAAGGCCACCATAGAGAATACTTCCTCCCCCCTCCCCCTAGGGGAAATTAAGTTACCCAGTCTCTCATTACAGGTCACTAAATTACTGCTATGAGCAGGGCTCATCCCATAAGAACCTGTCAAATGCACAAGTGACAACAAAGACAACAAAGAAGTCAATGGAATGATAGAGGCAAGGAAAAAAAAAAGGTACAAAACAAAGAAGAACTTCACAAACCCAAAAGCTGCTTTTTGAGCTTTTTCATACAGGCAGTTTGGTAGTTAGACACTTTCTGGAACCCTTTTTTGTGTGTCTTTCACTGTTAGCAAAACCAGATTTTCATCCTTATTACAGTTAAACCTAGACTTACATTAACATTGTCATAGAAAAAAAAAATGAAAATGAAAAAAGCCACTTCCTTTTACATTTTTTTGTTAAAATTTGCTGAAACCACTGACACTCTCCTCAAGGGTATAAATAGTAAAAGAAAAAAAAACTGAAGACAAAAGGATTTTGAATCCCATGTAGGCTGCACAAAGCCAGAATGGGTTTCAAGAGCCAGATCAATTAATTCCTATTTGTTTCTTTTTTTTACTTGAATATGACAACATTAAAAAAATGACTTTTTTAGTTCATTGAGTTGTATGTGTATGGGGGTTGGGGTGATATTTCCAGTAGCCTTATAGCCCTTGAGAACCTCTAATTTAAATGGATCCATGGGTTGCAGCTCTTTTGTTATCCGGCTAGGTTCCATTGTCAATTTTGTTCATTCTTTGAATTCCCAGCCAATCCCGTGAGGACTTCCAAGGGCTGCAAGGTATACCCAGTGTTGACAATGTTGCAAGGGGTGGTAATTAAGTAAAAGAAAAAGTCTCCCACTTTCAGAACTTCAAGGATTGGCATCTCTGACACTTGCTCTATTGACAACCAATCAAACTGCTTGATCCAGCAAAAAAAATCCCTCATCCTAAACTACCAAAACATATATTGACCTTTCCTTTCCTTCTTCTACGTCCATTCACCTACGATCTCTCCTTTACTTGGTTATAAAGTACAGATAATTCTTTATAGATAATTCTTTAACTTAGAATGGTTATAGAAAAGGAAATATAAACAAACATATTAAAGTTATTTACCTCAAAAAAAGCGAAGAGTGATCACGTCCATGAAAGGTAGCATTCCAAACATCAGAATGACTGATCAGAAGCTCTGCTGCCCTTAAAGTACAACAAAATAACTGTTAAGAAAGAATCAGCTTTCACCTGGGATCATTTTCTCTTAGAGACAACCGCTACAAACCTTCAAATTCTGCAAAACTGAGGAAAACCATAACTCGGCGCCATCTTTGAATTTGTGGTAGTTCCCAATGCCCTCACTATCTACGCGGTCACTATCTCGCGCGAACCCCTCTCCGCGCTTGGCAACGTTCGCGCAACTTTTGGCTTTTGGAGCAACTTTTTGAGGTTCTAGTACCCGTAAAATTTCTCCCATAATTGCGAGCATCTCTTTAAAGCTAACCTCAAGCTATTTTTCTGTTAATTAATTATTGTGAAGAACAAAAATTAAAGATTTAAGTTGACGTTTTGTATATAAAAATATGCAGAATTTTAGGCAACAACTTTTGAAATCTACGAAGCAACTTTTTGATATTCCAGAAAGCAACTTTCCAGCATTTTACGAGCACAATTGGGACAGGCCTAGTCATGCAAAAAAAAAAGCAACAACAACAACAACTACAGTACCGGACAGGGCTTCTGTTCACAGTCTTCACACATGACGGAATGGTGATTTAGGCGCAGTTTCATCTACCGATCGAGGCCTCACCGCAACGATAGGTTTCTGTGCTGCTCTATGGCGCAGAGTGAACAAAAAGGCGTTCATGTTATAATACCACATAGCTTTTCATATCGGCATGAAGAACTATCCGATATACTGTAGACATAGCCTGAATCTACACCGTCTTTCTTTTTGTGTTATTAACACCCTTTGAAATTCCGCCTTTTTAAGACACATGTACACATAGCTTACCTGTATGCACAGAGGGGTGCTAACTCATGAAGTTCTTTCTATGTGATACTTCCTTGAACACAAAAACGCGAGTTGGAGGATTCCGAAATGTCCAAAACCAAAATAAAATTTCCACACTGGTATCTAATCCTGGTAATTAATTCCACGTGCCACTCCTGCACGTGCTAATTATGAAATCAGAAAAGAACAATGCGCTATAATTAAACAGCGTCCGTGCGGCTGTTCGTGCTGCACTAGTTTAATCACTTGCCAAAACAATCTTTGTTAGTTTTATTATTTTGTTTCTAGTATGGTAATGTCTGATGAGATTAAGACAGCCAGAAGATAAATTTCGTGGTTACAATTCTGGGCCACCCTGTATGCAGTTTTCTGGGGTTTTTGAAATCAATTAAGGGTAGGCCTGAGTAAAAGGTAAACTTTCTTAAAGGTTCTCACATGTTTTTTTCAGCAATTCGCTTTAAGGTTCCCGCGCGCGAGCCACGCTCTGCGAGTTCGGGGATTGGTATCAGATGACGTCATTTCAAAAAGTGACCCAAAATTTAGGATATTTTCCATCATCGTTTAATTACTGCAGCCTAGTCCCTAGGCGTTCTCTCTTGATCTGTTGTCCGCACGAAGTCTGGGAGAGAGCGAGTGTCTCTCAGTGACGTCACAGCTCATGGTAGAGTCCAGGAATGACCGAGCCGAAAACGCCTGGGGACTAGGCTGCCTTACTGTTGTCTGTGTGTGTTTTCTCTTTTACCACACCAATATTTTAAAGTATCTTTTAATTTGGACATAGCAGTTTGTATGGGATGGTAAAAGAACCTATATTGCTAGCTTGTAGCGACGTCATGTGAGTCACGTTAGTTGACGAAAACAAATGCGTTTACCTCTGCTTGGAACTAAACTCCTTTTTCATGCAAATTGAAGCTATTGATTCTTTTAAACTCCACGTCGAGCTAGTCTCTGGCTTTTATAAACTATGGATATTCATTGTGAACCTCGGGCTATTTTTATGTTGGTGAATAGAATCCTTCTAGTTGAAAGTTCACACTGTTTCTTATCAATATTGTAAGTGCCAGACTCTCTTCTCCGCAGAGGCTTCTACGTGAGGGAAGAATGGAAAGGAGAGAAGTGTTTGTACTCTTACGAGCAGTTTATTTCACCTTCCCCCAACCCTCCCAACCTCGTTCCCAGGTTCTCTCTACCTGTAAGAGAGAATCCTGGGAACGAGGTTGTCTCTCCCCGAGTGGGGAGGGGAGGCAGACTTTGGATACCTCTGAGAAGAAGTGTGGGGATGTATTTGCTGCAATAGAAATTAAGACAAATCGCTTTATTATTAAAGAGTTCCTTTTATTTTCAATGAAAAAAAATCATTGATTTAATATAAACCTCATAATAAATACTTTTGTTTCTCCGTCCGACTTTTGGTTGATCATGTCTGTGAACACTTTAGTGCTGATAAAAGTTTTCATATTTAAAAAGTCGACTTTCTCGAGGATTGAGACATTTCTGTCCTTTCTCAGTGCGAATTTGAAATGTATATTTTTCACGCTTCATTTTCTCGGTTAAGGTCCTCGATAAACAAACTTCTTGCACAACAATAATTCAAGGCAAGCTTCCAAGAAACTTATCGTGAGTGTACTTTCAAAAAAACATTTGACCTTGAAATCTTCGCCAGGCTGCTTTGAAGCACACATCAAGTTTTCGACCCTCTTCTTTTTTAAGGGTCGCGCGACCAGATGAAGCACGCACCGGGACGCGTGACAAGGGCAGAGCGCAAGCCTTCTCAATGCTCGTCTCACGTTTGCAAGCAGAACCGAGGAGGTTAAGGACCTACAAGCATGCTTGATGTTCCTCGTAGAAACCACTGCATATGATTGTTGCCATAACGCTCAAGAAGATCCTAAGGAAAGAGTAACAAAACAAATTTTAAGATCTGTTCCTTGTAGCCTTATTTACGGCTAAACATGACAAATCTAAACTTTAACGGTCACTAAGGCTTCTTAGATAGTCTTTAGAGGCGTTTTGACCCAAACGGCCAGATCTGAACACTTTTGTTCCACAAACAAATCGGTACGACAGTTGTCAACACTTTCGGATCAATTAAGGTTCAAGGGAAACTGCCCACCTACCCCCCCCCCCCCCCTAAGCCTGTAGTGGGACAGTTTATGCTGTCATATATGAAGTAGATAATACAAAGAAAACCGGTCTGAACCGCTCCGAGGATAACACATGCGTAGCTTCTGTACCAGAATAGATTTACTGTCTCGTAGTGATTAAAGTGTTGTGTTCTCAGTTCTACTCGTATCGAATCCTTCTACAAAAGTGGTGGAGAATCCATTTCAAGTGCAAATGCCTGCTACTATCGAAGAACTTCAAGGCGTCGTTGCCGGTCTCAGCGAAGTTGTCAAAGGTTTAGTTAACACCGTCCAACAACAATCTGCCCTGCTGCAAGCTCACACTACAGCTTCAACATCCCAAGCGAACTCAGCCGATACTACTTCTGGTTCTAACAATCAACATCTGTCCACCTTACGATTGCCGACCTTACAGCTACCAACATTTCGCCAAGATAAAACCGCACAAGATGATATTGCCGAATTTTTGGAGCGTTTCCAAGAGCAAACATCTCACCTTCCCGCCAAAATTCGCTTGTCGCTCCTGGAACAACAGGTCGTCGGTGAGTGGCCGCGTTCAGTGTTATCTTTCTGCCGTGGCTCGGAAGGGTTTTCTGATAAAACCGCCGAGGAACAATTGAACTCTTTTATCTCAAGTTTACGGGATGAATTCCAGGAACCTCCGGACGCAAAATGTCGCCGATTGGCAGCTGAATTAAGTGCTATGAAACAAGATCCCTCTGAGAGCGTGGATGAATTTGCATTCAAATACAAGAACACTCTTCATCAACTTGATAAACTGGGCGAAAGCCTGACGAAATCTTGTCCCACGTATGTTACTTCTCAGTTTATTTCCAAGTTACAACCGCATCTTACCCAACACCTCGTTTTACAAGCTCATCAGGTGACACAACTTGATAAAGCTATGGAAGCCGCTCGTCGCATCGAACATTCATTCATCGCTGCTGCAAGTAATGGGTCTTCTTCGCCCTTAACAAGTGATTCGTCGTCGCCATCTACAGTTTTTAATGGCGTTCCTCAGCGAACCGCCTTGTTTTCATCTTCACGTCAATTTGGAAGCAAAAGTAAGCAAAGTTCGTGTTGGATTTGCGGAAATAATCAACACAAAGCTCATCAATGCCCACAACGGTCAGCAGCACCAAAAAAGAAATCGCCTGAGGTCTGCAGAAATTTTAATAAGTTCCTCTCAGCAACTTGTGAGCAATCTAATAACAAGTGTTCAGCTGGCCGGCTTCACAAATGTTCTGAATGTCAAAAATGGGGTTGTAAAGCTATTCGTCATACGGAACAGCGAATGCAGTCCTTAGCCACAGGCCTACCAACCTCAAACGAACCAGCTGCTGAGAAAACAAGTACCGAAAATCAAGAAAATGTTGTGTTTGGCCTACCAGCTGTTACAAACACTGCCGGAAAACTCAAAGAACGTCACATCCTTTGGACACCTGTTTTCTCTGCTGGGGAGAAACTTCCACTACCTCTTGACAGTTGTTGCTCAGTTTCTCTTGTCAGTCGCTCTCATGCTGATTATGTTGCTTCCAAATGTCCACACTTAAAGTACCAGTCACTTGAAACACCTGTTACAGTTTCTGTTGCTGATGCAAATTCTCAGTTAAAGGCTGTTGGCACTATGGAAATTCCCATACAGTGGAGCAATGGTAGAGAAACAACCTTTCAGATGCTTGTAGTTCCACGTTTGTCCTGGCCTATCCTATTTGGAGAAAACCATTTGCACTCTACACAAGCCTTGGTGGATCATGGTGAGCCCAGTATCCTCTTTCGTCATCCTAGCATGTCTTTCAAAATTGCCTGCTCCCTTGACAGTCCAATCAGAGGTGGCTTACACCAAAGGGACAACACCCATGCCGGAGTAACTTGTTTGCTCACAGGAGCCCCATCACCTGGTATTCCTTTTACAAGCTCCAAACTAAATCGTGGACTTAACTTTGTTTCTGTTTGTCTCACCCTTGGTACATCATTGATGGCTGTTTCACCGTCAGACTTGTGGGTTGATGGTCAGGAAATTCAGCCTGGTGTTAAAGTTCTAAGTGGTCCTTTTCACATGTCTGCTATCACAGATAAGCACCGACCTGTTGCCTCTTGCCATGCATCACTCTGTACTCTCCCTCCAGATCCACTGGAACCTCTTGCTGCTCAGGATATTGTCTCGGATCTAGAACCTGCTTTTACCACAACTCTTGCAGTTGAATGCAAACAGAAACAAGCTGACATTCCTCTTAACATTGTTCTTGGACATGTTAGACCGTCATGCAATGCTGACGCTAAAGACTTTGAAGAGGCAGCTGAGAACACTGCTACCATTCTCGCAGACAGTTGGATGTGTTGGGTCAACGGACAGTCACTATTATCAACTTCACCTCCTATCTCAAACACTACTCAGATTTCTTCAGCACAAACATGGAAAATTTCTGAACAGAACAGAGAATTAGCTGCAGCCGGACTTGATTCGTCAATCCTTTCCCCATTTAGCGAGAAAATCTCTGAGTTTCATGAACATGAATTTGCACCTTCTGCGACCCTTGCACTGGATCCTAGTTCAGAGGAGTATTATGAGACTCTTCTTAAAGCTCTGGCTCTTGACTCGCCGAAATATGCTCATGTTGATGCAGAAGCCCTCCAAACATTTAAGCGGCTTATACGCAAATATCCTACAGCTTTTGTCCTCCCCGGTTCTCCGTTGGGTCAGATACAAGGCTTTGAACATCACATTGACACTGAGGATGCCTTGCCTGTGTACAAACATCCTTACCGCAAAAGTCCGGAAGAGTTACTTGCTATTAAGAATGAGTTACAGCGCATGCTTAAAATGAAAATTATCCAACCAAGTAAATCTGAATGGGGGGCACCTTGTATTCTTGTCCGCAAACCGCTGGAAAATGGTGTTCAACAACCACCACGCTTTGTTGTGGACTACAGAGGCCTAAACAGTGTAACTCGGGGTGACGGCTACCCCATTCCCTCCATTGCAAGCATTCTTGATTCAGTTTCCCAAGGAAAAGTGTTTGGACACTGTGACCTCGCCAGTGGATATTGGCAAATTCCCCTACGCCAGCAGGATCGTCAGAAAAGTGCCTTCTGTACTCATGTTGGACTTTACGAATTCTTACGGCTACCATTCGGATTAAAAACTGCACCTAACACTTTCCAGAGGATTCTCAATACTGTTTTTGCTGATTATTTACATCAATGGCTGACTGTCTATGTTGATGACATTATCATGTGGGCACAAACACAGCGTGAAGCTCTACATTCTTATGAATTGCTGTTTGAAAGAGCTGTAAACTTTGGCATCCAATTCAAGCCCTCAAAGTGTACCTTCTTTGCTAAAGAGATTCAAGTTTTAGGACACACTATTACTGAACGTGGGCGAAAACCAAACTCGAAGGGAATTGAAGCCATCCTTAGCATGGAGCCGCCTTCTAATACAACCAGCCTTAAACGATTTCTGGGTCTCTGTAACTTCTTCCGTGATTATATTCCAAACATGCCTTCTCGTACCAGGTACTTGCGTGAACTCTTAAAAAAGGATACTCCCTTCTCTTGGTCAACACACCACTCCAGGGAATTCGAGGACTTGAAACATGCAGTTACTGGTCCTGATGTTTTACTCTCTCATCCAGACTGGACTTCTCCATTTGAACTTCATGTTGATGCAAGCAAGCTAGGTTGTGGTGCTATGCTTGCACAGTACAAAGACAACCAGCTCCGCCCTGTCAGATTTGCATCAAGAGCCTTCACTCCCGCTGAATCCCGCTGGCACACGTTGCAACAAGAACTGTTTGCTGTTAAGTGGGGTCTAGAACAATTCCGTCCTTACATTCTTGGCCGTCGTGTCAAAGTCATTACAGACCACGCAAATTTGAAATGGCTTACCTCCTTGGCCCCACAGCAAGCTAAACTAGCACGGTGGTGTATGACAATGGCAGAATTTGATTTTTACATTGAACATCGTCCAGGAATCACAAACACTGTACCTGATACCTTAAGTCGTCAGCCTATGTCAGACTTACCTTCATTTGAAGAACCTTATGCTCCAGAAGATGGTGTGAATTCTTTTGTCCTACTTGCAGTCTCTATGGACATCCCCAATCATAGTCCCACACTGGTTTCTGATACGCTCAACGGCACTTTTGCTTACCTTCGCCGCATCTGCCTTGTAGCTCCTGTCAGTGTTGATTCTGCACCTGATCCTGACTCGTCTGTTACAGCTCCAATTGATACCCAATCTGAGGACTATTTACTTGCCTTACCTGGACTTAACCTTCATCGCTCTCAGTTTGCATTACAACAACAACAGGATTACTGGTGTAAACTTGTGTTCAAAGTTCTTTCTTCCAAAGATGGGAAAGTAAAATTCCCAGGTATTCCACAGAAACATTTGCAGTGGGCTCGTCATTTCTCCAAACGTGCAGCCATCATAGATGGCGTCCTCATGTACCGTGATGAATTGATGGACAATCCAAATCATTACCGCTATGTAGTTCCTGATGATATCCAGTTCCGTAGACATTTGTTAAGAGCCTACCATGACTCTCCTGTTGCAATGCACCGAGGCCGAGAGGCCACATATCAATCTCTGGCAAATGACTTTTACTGGAGGAACATGTCCAAACATGTCAGAAACTGGATTCGCAGATGCCCTGACTGCATCCGTTTCAAAACTGCTGAACAACATCATGGTCCCATGCAAGTTCGCCTGTACGAACATCCATTTCATACATTAGGCATAGACTATGTTGGTGAGCTCCCAGTTTCGCCTAATGGAAACAAGTGGATCTTGACAGCTGTTTGCCCTTACTCAAACTTTCTACGGGCTATACCTGTCTCTGACAAACGAGCTACCACCGCAGCACGCGCCCTGTATGATCATGTGTTCCTTGAATATGGCTTTCCCGCAGTACTCCAAAGTGATCAAGGTGGTGAATGGGTCAATTCTGTGCTCCAAGAACTCACCAATTTGCTATCTATAGAACATGTGTTCACCACAAGTTATCGCCCTCGCCTTAATGGTTCTACAGAAAGAGTGCACCGCTGGCTTAATTCTGCTTTAGGTATTTACTGTGAGAAAAACCAACAGTTGCGGGCGGAATTCTTACAACCTGCTACTTACGCCCACAATACCTCTCCAATTCCTGGAACAGATCAAGTAACTCCGTTCTTCCTGGTGTTTGGCAGACATCCCATTTCTCCAGAGGTACTTACCCTCGAATTGCCACCCTCACCTCTTTCTCAAGCTTCATATGCTAAAGAACTTATCAAACGTTCCATTGAAGCCCGGAAACAATTTGACAAAATTAAAGCAGATCTCAAAAGAACTCAGCGAGAATACTATGACATGCATTCTAGAGATCTCCATGTGCCTGAAGGAAAGAGAGTTTTTGTACGACTGCCGCCTCCAAGCTCAACTGCAAAAGGGGCAGCAACTCGTTTTCTTAGGAAATATGATGGACCCTATCTTGTCACTGGCCATGTTCACGGTCGTGAAGATTTGCTACGTTTACAGCACCTCTCAACTGGTAAAGAAATCAGAACAGTGAACATTGAAAAGATTGTGGTAGTTCCTGATTCTGATCCTCGTGCAGACATCCGTGATGATACTGAGCAAGAACAAACTAGGGGAACTGTAGCGTCTTCATTACCAAAAAGCACTGTAGCTTCGCCTGTAAATCGTAGTTCAGATTTAGCAAAGATCGCTTTCGCCTTTGCGAAATATCTCAGCTCATTGCCACAAGCCCAGTGTTATGCTTCAGAGGCTTGTAAAGCAGTTTATAATAGCTTACCGGACGCTAGAGACATTCTTAATCGACATGGCAAACTTAAAGGACTCGTCAGTCAGTGTCCCTACTTATCTTTACAAGGTGGACCACATGGAGGCACCTACCTCCTTGTTTTGAATGTAAAGCAATTCCGTGAACTTAACAGTTAACTCCCCAAGAAGGGGTGGACTCGTGAAGGAACTTTCGTTTTGTTTGTTTGCTAACAAGTTTTCAAATTTTTGACCCAAGAAGGGGTGGACTGTAGTGGGACAGTTTATGCTGTCATATATGAAGTAGATAATACAAAGAAAACCGGTCTGAACCGCTCCGAGGATAACACATGCGTAGCTTCTGTACCAGAATAGATTTACTGTCTCGTAGTGATTAAAGTGTTGTGTTCTCAGTTCTACTCGTATCGAATCCTTCTACAAGCCAACATTTTACCCTAAGTGAGAAGTAAGTGTTAATGTTGTCTTAGGGGAGGGGTAGGGGGGTTTCGCTCTTTTTCCTGCTCGCATGTGCCCCTTCCCAACAATCAGTGAACGGCCGGAACAGGCGTGATCCTTACTGGGGTGCTGGTTGAGGACGAGGTTTTCTCCTCTTTCCCTCTCCCTCACTTCTTCCTTATTTTTTCCCGCTCTCTGACTTCGCGTCGCACCCCACTATCTGAGCGCCTGAAACAGGCAATCCAAAATCAGTGTGCACTACACAAGGAGTGATATATCACTAGGGTTTTGGAACAGGGGATGCCCAAAACGCAGAGATACCCATATCACTGTAACACTGGTCTACTAAGCAGGAGGCCTGGGCTCAACCCGGCCCGGAACATCAACCGGGGCCTTTAAAAAAGGTAAGTTCACACAGGTCACAGGGAAGTGAGGTTAAGCGGTTGGTCTTGTCTCCTTCATCTTTTGTTCTCCTCCATTAAACATAAAGGTCAGGAGAGGGTAGGAAATAACCCCTCAGTAAGGAATGTCATGATTGTTAAGCAAACACTCGCTAACAGTTCTATAAGAAATGTATGGAAGAAAGTGAAAACTGAGTCCCGCTGAAGAACACCTTCTTGTGAAGTGGGTTCCTTGCAAAAAATTATTACACGTTTTTGAGCGATGCACGTCAACCGGAAGTGGACTTCCTACATCATTTAACAACCCTTTTGCCCAAATATTTGGGCAAATCGTCTCTAAAAGAGTTAAGACACCTAGAATTACAAATTTGGTAATTAGGGCTCACTTCCGGTTGACTTGCGTGTCTTAAAAACATCTTTGCTTGAGCTCCCTATTATTCAATATTATACAGTGTGGAGAATATACATGCTGATGTTCGGATTAAACAGATAAATTTTATCAACCTGTTGGACTATCATCCAGTCCTTTCTGCTGGGTGAGGGAAGGTTTTGTTCTGCTACTTTGGTATTGAACTCTTTTCTGGTCAATGACCAAGATTTGCTGAACATATCCAGGACCACGGCTCGATACTAACACAGATGGCAAAAATACAAACGTTAGAATTCAGCTAAGACGGTGATACATGGTGCATTCTGGGATCGTTTGGGTAACACTGTGAGCTGTGATTGATTAATCGGTACCTATGGAAACCAGTGACCAATCAAAAACCCGAATCAAACCTATGGAAACCAGTGACCAATCAAAGACCCAAATGCTTCCAGACAGCCTAATGATGACGACTGTCTAACTATTGAAATTATGAATCTATGAAAATCATATATGTGAACTGCGGAGTGAAGAATTGTTTGAAGGAAGATCATCGCAGTTATATATATTGTAGGCAGTGTTTTTTGTTACGCTGTACACCATAGCTCTAACGACCAAGTACGTGCATAAAACACTTACACACTACCATTTAAACGACTGCTTTTCTACTCTACATTTCTTAAGTGCCGTTATTTTTACTAAATAGTATTTTACAAGCGAAAATTAGTATTTTTCTTTTACTGCAATGAAACAAGACGAATCTAACATAAGGATATGGTCGCAGTATATCGCATAGCTCTTACGCCGGCACAAAAACCATACCAGATAGGGCTTCTGTTCACATATAAGGTCGGTGGTTTTTAGCGCGATTTCTGTGACGGGGAGAAGTTGACCCGCGCCAACCTTGAGAGTGCATCGTCAGATATTAGAGTGATGGATAGGTTATGTGCCACACCTAGCCTGTTCCAGGCTCCAAGATGTGCAAGTGGTGCAGTCATTCAGTAAGAAGTTATGCGAAAAACGCGCGGGAGATGGCCCCTTTCACAGGTCGCGCGCGTCTTATTTTCGCTTTGTTTGTTTTATTTACACCCCCACTATACTATCTGAGAGCCTGGTAAAGGCTATGTTACACATTGGTACAGTGTGAAAAGGTATTCGGACAGTAGCGGAAGTGAATAAACAGGAGCACGCGCTGGAATCCGCCGAGACGGAAGTAAATGTACAGGAGTGAGAACTGGGATCTAGTTCACCACACCCTCTCGGATAACTGCTTCTGCAGGAAGTTCGATGTGTGTGAACGCTGTTGCTGTTCAGCTATCCAGTTTAGTGTAAATATAACCTAAATCATCATCTTCACCTGATCTGACGAATCTCCTATGCTTCTGAAGGCAAAGAATCTCCGTGACTGCGTGTCAATACTCAGAGCTGCTGGTGGCCACTGTAAATCAACAATGAAAGAACAAAGATCAACTCTCAAGCGAACCAGTGAAAAGTCTTTAGGGCCAAAGTACGTGGTTTGCGTGGATCTTCAACCGCCAAACGTGACTAAAGCATCATCCTTTGACGCGCTTCATGCTCGACCAAGGAATGTACAAAATTATCACCAGTTTTGCGAGCCATTCTTTACAAAGCAGGAAGTAAACAAAATAAAAGAAAACTTTTAAGCTCATAGTAGAGATTTCAGAAAGGTGTCTTGATTTTCAATTTGCCCTTTTAAGACGCACCATGGTGGGTGCCCAAGTACAGTTCATTTCTACAAGTATCAACAGACGATGACTACGACTTGCGCCTCCCTTTTGCAAACGTTTCGACATGCAGCCATTAACCTACGTGCAAAGGGAGGCAACAACTCCCACCATTGTAGGGCGGATGCAACAACTCCCAACAACGTTTGGACCTGCAGTGCATCATGGGAAGGGTACAACCCAGAAGACTTTGGAGATCACCTTTAATGCGCGTGCGTGGCCCCAACAATGTTGGAAGTGCTGTACAATTGGATCCAACATTGTTGCGCTCGCTACGCTTCGGCGATCACGGAACAAAAGAAATGCTGGGAGTTGCTGGCTTAGAAGTTTGGCCGGTTTCAAACTTTGCGCACCAACTCCCAACAACAAGCAACAACATGCAACAGGGAAAGCAAACGGATACAACGTGTAACATCAACAATGATGGGAGTTGTTGGCCAACAATGATGCGTCTGTTTGCACGGGGCTTTAGCCAGGACAGAGAAAAGTGGTTTACAGTCATTTGGATACAAAGTTGTTTTGATTGAAGTTTGTTCACGCGCAAACTATACTTAAAAAGATCAAAATTTCACCACTTGAGTTCGTATCGAAAAGACTTGAATAGAAACAACTTTGTATCGAAACGACCGATTTTCAGGAAAAAATACGCTGTCTTGGATTGAAGCCTAAAAAGTCAACATATTGACAGACCGTAATGAACCACTCAACTACAAAGTGACAAGTTTGTAGAGGTGACCCTGCATTTCTTATAGTAATGAATATATTTAACAATTTTTTTTCTAGTTCTCAGAAGGGAACAATATCCATAAAAACGTTCTGCGCTACCTTCAGGTCAATCTCTGTCGCTCCAGCATTGATTATCGCTTTCTCAAGTAAAACATCAGGTACTCCAGCACACAGAGGATCTCCAGGACTGCTTGCTAACAAGAAAATAGCCACAGTAAGCATAGGGTCTGGAAAGGGAGTCATGATCCCGCATACCCGCTCTTTTTTTACGGGAATCCCGATTCCCGAATTTCTGTCATCGCTATCCCGAAAATGTTTTTCAGTTCAGTAGCTGTTGGGTTTGGTACCTCGTAATAAACGTGAATTAAGATATCTTTCAAGATAGAAGAATTTTCTGAAATTTGAAGAAAATCAAGGCAACCTAAATACCATAGGATTCTTTGGCAGCAAGATTCACTCTAGCAATCGTGAGGAAGTGAAGGGAATGGAATGAGGATAGGTATTTGGTTCACGGAGGAGGAGCGTTGCGCGACGACGCTAAAGGATAGTACTTACCTAATCAGAAAATAGAAAAATTACCACACGCAACTCACCTGTTTGCCGAAGAAGCAAAAGCTTTTTAAATTCCGCAAAACTTAGAACAGTTCGGTGCAATTTTTCTCGAACAAATTCCTGTAATACTTTTAATGCGTCCGCAAAATGTTCTCCATTAGCCACTGGCATGGGCTCTTTCTTGATCGCATGATTAACATTATTACTAGTCACTTCTTTGCAGTCTACTTCCATTGGAGAATGTTCCTCTGAATTTGGTCCTTCGTTCGTTAAATCATTGTTCATAATATGATTCACTTTAGATTTCGACGGCTTGGAAAGTTTTTTATTTTCTGTGCTGGTAGAAGGATCAGCTGAAACGGAAAGGAAAAATTGTCCTGAGAGAAAACTCTCCAATCTGGAGGTGGGGAGCTACCACGTAGGTCATAACGGGAAACCTTAATATAATATGACCTCGCCTATTTAACTTACAAGATAGCTGTGCAAGATGTTGTATGCGGTTGCATTTCCACAACCACCCTTGGGGACTCCCATATCGAAGTGACCGGGTTGCTTGTCGTCTCGCTTTGGGGTGTAAATTGCAGATTTTGGTCTCACTTAGGGTGTTTGGGATGGAAAGTCACTGTATTTGCCCATTCAGGTATCCCTTAGTACTGTGCATTAAGAAATTTACAAAAAATGCCCCGACACTAACCACAATGCTCAAAACTAAGGTCGAACACCACGGGTCTCACTGCCAAGTTTTGAACATTTTGACATCATTTCTATGGTCTGTAAGGGCATAGACTATGGAAAATTAATTGTCGTTGATTTGTTTTGACATTGACGGTGCTTGGTGTCGATTTCCGTTAAAGTTTCTGGGAAATTTGTGAGCTCAAGAACGAGAAAAAAAAAAAACGCGTCAACATAATATCATTTCTATGGTCTGTACTCTTGTTGACCGAAGCTCTCCAGCAATCAGCGCGTGAGAAATCGCCAAGTTATTGTAAAATTTAATTAGAAACCCGTCTAACAAGCACCACATTATAAGACCAGACACATTCGACTGTACTGTACAGAACTTGACCAGGATTCAAATTAACACTTACAACTGTTTATCCGTTTGATGTCTCCTATCTTTTCATGCTTTGGGAAATTAAGCTGTTTTTGAAGCCTATGGGAAAAAAGAACGATAAAATTTCACATCCCAACAAACAAAACGTTTCAACATTTACAGGTCTCATGTCGAACTAAGTGAATGAAACATGTACGTTACAAATTCTCACAAAATACGGTTGAGCCTCTATTTAAACAGAACCTCTTCATGTCGGTGAGCACTAAACAGAGGTTTGACCAGGATTTATACAAAAAATTGCAACCATTTTTTTAAGGACTTTTCAAGGACCACATTAGATTTTCAATCACCACCTACCAGGACGGTAATTTTACAGATTGTACAGAAATGCCTATTCCTAGTCCATTCTAACAAGACTTTAAGGCTTGAACTGTTTGCTTAACCAATTTCTCTACATTTTTCAGTACACTTGTCTTAAATTCATGATAGTTAATTCTTGACTAAAACAAAAAACGCGTTATGTAAATCACCCTTAACTTCTCTTAGTTATGATTTATATTCTGTTTTGGACAACCAAAAAGCATTTTAAAAAGCACTAAGCCACTACGCTGAAAGTTGAAGAAAATTCAAGTACTTTTCAAGGACTTTTACAGAAATGTAAGGACTTTTCAACGAAAAATGGAATTGTCAATTCAAGGACTTTCCCTAAATTTAAGGACTTTTCAAGACTGGGCGAACACTGTTGACTGTAAAAAACCAAAATGCACTAAGAACTGATGCAAGGCCAGATGCCTCTTCAAAACACAACCTTGTTATGTTATTATATTCCTGTAATTTCCTGTAATGTCCATCACATAGTAACATCAATAACTAAATTCTGAAAACAAAATTAGTAATTCTTACGCTTGGCATTTGGCTTCCCATAAGGTAAGCTGTTGTTTATATACATCTGGATGTCTGTTGAAACCAAAAAATAAAACAAAAAATCCCTTCACTTCATATTTATTCCAGGGAAGAAGAGTATCCCGGATCTATCCCCCTTCACATCAAAATGCTACATTTTTTATATCATGTGGCTAAATGTAATTTAGGAGAGGTTAAACAAAAGACAAAGCTGGCCAGCAGTCTTAAACTCTTATAAGACATGTATGCAAGACAGTCTCAGGACATTTGCAGAACCTCAGTAAGTTTACAGTGATTTTAGTGAGGTCAATTCTTTTTGCACACGTTACCTTTTGCAGGCATTTACTTCAGTCATTTTGCTCCAAGTGCTCTATCACTCTGGACATGTCTTGGTAAGTACCTTGTGGTACTTAATTTTGTGTTTTTCACAATTGTAAAAAAAAAATCGCTAAATTAAAGACCTGGGAATAAAAATCCTTGTGAAATTTAAACACGCAAAATTTAATACCCAGAATTTGCAAAGAATGCTGATTTCACATATGGAGTACATAATCTAGCTATCATCTTTATCTGAATCGCTAGATTCATACAAAAAAGAACAAAACAAAGAAATATGCATTTTTTTTGTTCCAGTTTATCTAGGAAGTTTTAAAGTTGAGAACAATAATAATTTATTGAATCTCGAAATTTAATGCCCCTTTAATGCCCCTACTTGAATTGCAAAAATAAACCCCCTGCAAAAAGCTGTCATTCCAAAACTGGAAAATTAAGTACCAATAAGAAATCTACAAAACTCTTGGCTGAAGTTTTAAGTGCAACAGTGCCTGGTGGTTGCCGCTCACAGGGTTTATTTTTATTTACTTATTTATTGAAATCAATATTTATCCAGGAGCATCCAAGTTAGCAGACCTAGTTTAAATGGAACCCTGACACAAACAAAACAAAGACATTAAAACATTTAAAAAACTGCATTATTCTAAAAGATTTCAGCTGCTGTGGGTCTCTGGTGAGCACCAACAAGTATAATGTTAGTTTTCTCGAGATTGCATTAAAAAATTGGTGTGAAGCCAGCCAAGGACATTAGTTAGGCCACTAGTTAACTGAGTTTGAATTTCACTGACAGACTTGATTAGATAATAAATACGAGTATCATCAGCATAAAGCTAGTCAATGCTACATCCTTGAACTACCAGAGGCAAGTTATTTATATATTGATAAAATAGTAAAGGGCCAAGTACGCTAACCTGGGGAACCCCGGAAGATATAGGCAGCGGCTGAGGTTCAGACAAGACCCCATTGGTGCAAACACTTTGGGTGCGCATGGTTAAATAGGACCTAAACCACTGGACAGCAGAGGGACTCATTCCGAGTGAATTTAACTTATCTAACATGATGATACACGTGTAAAAGGCTTTGCTAAGGTCTAGGAATATTATGCCAGCTAATAGTCCTTTGTCAATGTTCTGCAGCAGAGTGTTCGTCACATAGTTGTAACTTACAGTTACCTTCCACGCTGCCTTGTAGCTCCCTTACTTTGCCCAGGCGCCTTTCCACCACAAATAATGTTGGTGATAGGTTTAAACAAAAAATGACTGGCACAAACGCTTGGGAAAGTAACTCTCGACAATGTTTATAGTTCAACAGTAACAACCAGCTTTGTATGTAGTAATGGATAGCACAATGATGACTTACTTTTGTATAAACTCCACGTCATGAGGTAGCACAAACTCCCAACCCACTGCAATTCTCATTCGAGCCATCTAAATCACAATAACAATAGAAAAATCAATCAACAAAGTTTCAATAACATCCATCATAGCTAATGTGTGTGTGTGTTTTTAAATCGATTAAAAGTCTTTCTACAAACCTGATCTAACATTTCCTTGATGTCCTCAGATGGTAGCTAACCAAAATAAAAGACAAAAAATTAATACATTTTTATAGAGTAACCTCTCAGCTGGAAAAGGTATGATTTAATGTTTAGTCTACCATGTTAAGACTTATTTATTGTTGATAGAGATTACAGACAAATTGAAGAATTGAATCATTAAAATATAGCAGTAAAATGCTTAAACAAGCAACAAATTATTCAAACATTTAATTGTTCATGACGAGATCTAAAAATTTTTCAAGAGGCAATCCATTTACATCTTGGCCTTCTTAAGCCAAGATATGCATCAATAACATAGTTGCAGTGTTACAGAATAACTTTTTTTGTATTGCTACCAACACTGAACCATTACATTACTGTTTCTTTTGACGACACAGAGACAGTGTACATCATTTGGTCTTTCAAAGTAATACTGATGGGTATGATGGGGTTATAGTATCTTTACATGTCTTACCTTGGTGACTGTCTTTATGTCTTGCCGAACAACTACTCTACTCTGGTTAAATCTCCACATCTACAAAGAATTTACAATTCAGGATTTTTTTTTTCGTACCCAGAAACCTTACTTCATGTTATGGCAGGGTAAAAAAAAAATAAAAGCTGACAAGATTAAGGAAAGAGCCAATGGACTAATTTATAATGGCACATCATAATTATTTTAAATCAAATTCAATTACTTCTGTTAAAACCATATTTAACTTACAGCAGACCATGTTTAGCTGGATTATTTTTGCAACCCCATTCTAGACTAGAGTGCTTGAAAACTGCATGCTTTGAGTAGTTAACTTTGCATCTGATAATTATCTTTAAACACAGAGACTGAGCGAACCCCGGTCACTATAATTATGCTGTTAGTTTGAAGGTTGAAAGAGCTGGTTACTCACTATATAATCTCTTCCTCTGCATAGAATATCTGCAGGTATTCCACTGTTAGGACTAATGCTTCCCTCAGGATACAATAACTCACTTTAGGAGAAATCCAGAATTACGTCAGCTCAGATATAATTTTATACATATGATACATTATTATATGTTTTGACATGAAGTACTACTGAGAGTTTTAACAAGTTGTGCTGTACTTGCACTCGTACTTTGCTGTACCACATTCAAAGTTGAATGAAAATTCAAGGACTTTTCAAGACTATGCAAACCCTGGTCACCATAATTATGCAGTTAGTTTGAAGATTCAAAGAGCTGGTTGACAGATTTGGTTTTTGTAATATCAACAATACCATACACCTTTCAATTAGTAACTTTAGTTTCAATTGTTAATGTTTAATTTTACCTTTTAACCACCCAACAGCCCTGTACGAGAACAGCATACTGTTGAACACATTTCAGCACTACAACCTCCTTGGCTGCTTGAGACAGTGTTCGAGCTGGAGACAGCAATCGACAGAGCTGAGAGAAGCTGATTACTTTAGCTACAGAATGTAAAATCCATCCACCAATCAATAAGTCAATATAATAAATCTTTTTGTTTCCTTAACTAGAAATGAGTTATCTAAGCTGAACTGAAAAAAAAGGTTGACTTGTAAGTGACTGAGCATCATTTTAACTGGACTAACAGAGTTTATTAATATGTTTTAACCACAAAGATAAATCATGTGATGTGTTGTGACAAAACTTGTCTGTTGAATAGTTATTATTTTTATCAGGTGGGTAGTGTTAACTTCCTTTTGAACAACAATAGGCTTGGTGGAGAGAGACAACATTGTAGCAAAATAATATTCACTTCTTGTCCACCAAGAAAATGATATGACAGAAGAGACTGGTCAATAAGCAAACAAGCTGTAGTTTTTTTGAGGTGACACACGTGTGCAACACCAACAATCTTCCTCCACTTTATTGTGCTTTGACTGGGGAGAGTCAATTACTTTATCAGATGCCATTTAATCTACATGAGTATTAAAAAAGGTGCAGTCTGCCTATACTACTATCCTGATTAGCCATGTACAGGGTGTTTCAAATACATGAAGGCAGATCTAAAAAAGGCAATGACTTAACACTGTACTGTTTCAAATAACCTCACCGTTAATAAGAAGGGCTTTGACTTGATCAGGTAAATCCATAGTTTTAAGTTGTGTCATTGACAAAACATTGCTTGGTAAACGGGGTTCGGAGCTGTTGGAAAAATTTATGATAGCAACAAAGTTGTAAAACTAGCAAAAATTAGGCACAAAGGTGAGTTATTTCAGTGTGAATGTCAATGTCAGCATTGTAAGGACAACAAGATCATAGCAGACAATGAGACTGCAGTAAAGATTTTAACCCACTTATATGGAATATATAATATTTATAGAGAGCGGCAACTATTCATAGGTATTTGTACATATGTACAATGCCTAAAACATTTTCAAAAAAAAATGTAATCCTTCACAGTACAAACAATAATCTTGTACATAACCTAAACAAAATCAGCTGAGCATTATGCACAACATAAATAAAAACACAACATGAACATATGCAAACTGGAGCCATCAAGAGGTAGTAAAAAACCAGGGTTTTGGTCATAGAGGGGCAAATCCCTCACCCACAAAGCCAAAAATTCTTAAACCCCAGGATACAAAGAACGGCATGCTACCTTGTTAATGCTTCTGACTTAAAAGTAGAATTCAAGAGAAAAACTTATTTTTACCTTTCTTCTTGACTAGTAGAGGGTGTCAATACCTTCAAGTAATCGCTAAAATAAAGAACTCTTTGTCAGGTCAAAGATCATTCAACAGCTTACCAGGTTTTTCACAGGAATTCAATATAGCTGGCTACTTCATATCATGCTTTTATTTCTTTTATACTGTTATTGCTTTGTACATACAGATGACTCCTGATAACATGAACCCTTGCTAACTCAAACCTTGCGCTAACCTCGAACCAAAATCAATTTCCTCTGGAAAAACTCTAACTCTAACCCTTGATAACTCGAACCTCCTGCTAACTCGAAGGAATTTTTGTTTCCCCTCAGATCATTTCCAAATAATTTTACCCGCGATAACTTGAACCATGTTTTGAGCACTTCCAAAGTCGGGAAAAAAACAGTGTGTCGTCCGAAACATTGATTTTGAATTTCCCATTGACGTGTTGTAGGCACATAGTTTACAAATGGAAGCAGATGTTTTTTGTCACAAATCTAACGTGAAACAGCTTTACTACTCAAACGGTAAATGCATGCTCTATTTTTAGGCTATGTTTGTTACGTTACATTCTGATTCATAATCTAGAAGTATCTTTCAATTTTCACTTAATATTTCTACAGTTAAAAGTGATTAAAATGTTCACTGTACAGTAAAAACTGGTTTTTCCCTAACTTCCAGCTATTTGCTTCGAGCTCCCGATAACTCGAACTTTTTTTTTATTTCCCTTGAAGGTTTGAGTTGTCAGGAGTCGACTGAATTTCATTTATTCATTTTTGCAACTATACTTTCATTGGTGGGTCCACACCAGCTATTACACGTAGCTGTCAGAAACTCATGAGGGGTTGAAACATGTAACTCTCATATGTTTGCTTTGTCCGATGCTTGTGAACATTCATTTTTGCATGTACACAGTACAGCTGTACCATAGTTGGAACAAGAAGAAAAGATAACTGACGTGATGTAATCTTGCTTCACGTTCCCGCACCCACTCAAAAAATTGAGAGATACAATGATGGCGACGGCTATGATAACGTCACTTCAAAAGTACATTAGCACTGCTTTAAACTTCACCACATTTATTCCACCTCGTTCAAATCATCAAATGTTAGCGAATTTTTCTGGAGTTGAGTTCTAAAGGACTGTATCAAAATTCAGGAAAGGGAAAACAAGGTCATTGTCCTGTGTTTTGCCCCTATGCGGCCGTCCTATGTAAAATGTGAAATTAGGCATTTTCATGTCGTAGTTGTGCAGTGTCATCTAAAGAACAAAAACAAAAAAGCGTGATGCACGTGCAAAGTTGTTGTTAAACTATTGCTTTTTTGAGGCCATAGCGAGGATTTCCAAATATGGTACTTAGAAAATGAAAATTCACGAGCATTGAATGAAAGTTACACATTTCGACCCCTTACGAGTTTCTGCTGCCATTTTACTGATGTACATAACAAATAAAGTACATTTGAAAGTGTACCTTGCATTCACTTGGAACTCAGGTGAATAAGACTCCATATTTTGGCAGAAAAGTAGGCTATGCTCACTTGCAGCCTCGTGATCCTTGAGGTTTAAAAAATTATAATAATTATCAAAAAAAATTCACCACAGTACATACACCATAATCCTAATTGCCAGCAATACTACTTTCCTATCACATTTACATGTGTATTAATTAGCCCTCTTTGCCTTGGTTGCGAGAATAAGGTGTATGAGCAGAAATTGATTTGTGTGTGGTTGTAACAACATATGTAGTACACTCTGTTCAAAAGATTTGGAGCAGATAATTTTTAACAAATTACTTCTCTATAAAAGGAAATTTTGGCAGTAGAGAAGCAAAAGAAAGTTGTTTTGAAGTCCATTGATGCAAAAATAATACACAGTGCAATGAACATTTCAGTGACAAACATGGTACCAGCAAACAAAAAAACTGGACAGTATGGCATACATTACAAAATTAATCCAGGACCAATGAAAAAAAAAACCCTTTTTACTAGCTTGTATAAATAATCAAAGGGATATTAAGCAATACTCTTGACTTATAGATAGCTCAGAAAAAGCTTTCTTGGTTGGCTATCTGCTCAGCTTTTTGGACCTCCCCTCAGCTAATGACTTCACCTAGAAAAGTGTTACCTTACTAAAATACATGATGCTATGTTTGAGGCCAAACTTTGGCAGTTATGTTATCAATTAGTTTTGCATGCTATTGAGGAGCATTTATGATTTTCCAGGATTACAATACAGCACATACCTGTGGATTATAAAATTGAACTTTTCTCCACGGCTCCTCTGCTTTTTTCTTTTCCAGGTATTTGAAAGACGACAAACGTTGAGCTTTTGCCCGATCTGTTTCAGGGCGGGCAAATTTGACCTAAAGAAAAAAGCTCTTAGTCTTAATCTTCACTAATTTGTTCTTTTCCTATTAAAGTCTTGGAAAACCACTTGATGTTGTGCTGAGTTCAGATTTGCACCATAAATAATTAACCTTCGTGACTGTCTACAGAGTCACACTTAACTATTGTACATAGCCAGCTGGTTTGCCTCCAGCTGGTTGGGATTCTTAACCCTGTTATGTTTGATTTGAATTATTTGTTTCAGTCATTTGCTCAGCCTCACTAGCATAAGTGCTATAAATACTGTTGAGGGTAAATAAAGGAGTTATTATTACTTAACAAAATGAACAGTAAAGAGCAACATACAGAGCTCGAAAAGGTACTGTCCAGTAGTCCAGGACGAAAAGATTTCTTGCTGGGCAAGTAACCTTTAAAGCTTACTTGCCCAATGGGCAAGGGTACGCCAGGCAAGTCATCTGCTAACATAATCATTAATTGAGATGAGCAAGAAGTGGCCTTTGGCAAGCAAAATCTTAGAGCGGCTAACCCAAAGGACAAGCTGGAACTCAAGTTTTTATCGAGCCCTTAACATACAAGTAACTGGCTTACTACAGGCATGTTGAAATCTAATTCAATTTCCAAAATATTTTGTATGCAGTCTTCAGTTAATTCAAAGACAAGGCTGTGCTCAAGAAGAAAATGAAGGAAGTCAAGTGCTCTGAAGCTATGAAATTCAAGGTGCCCAGAAAAACTTAAGATTTTCTTGTCACCCACAAGCAGAAGAACAGCACCACACGCCAATGGGCACTGCAGCTAAAACTGAGACCAAACAGCCATCATTTCGCGATGCCAAGACTGGTTTCTCCATGAAATGATGTCTGAGAAATGAGCACAGAATTCCATACTGATGATGTGTCCCTACTCAAATCTGGGTAGTGCTTCCAATTAGCTGGAGGAAATTCCCTATGTGGCACGTGTCAGCTGTTTTCTCAGGCTACTGTGGCTAGAGAACATCCCTCAAAATGGATGCTCTAAACTTAGAGTGGTTATTCACTCAGCTGTTATTTGAAAACAAGAAAATCAAAACTAGAGCATTGAAGAGTAGTTAACTAAACATACTGTTAAAGGTTTGGCTTCATCTTCCTCATCTTGTGAATCACCTGTTGATAATTTATAGACAAAAACAACAAAAAATTACTCAAGATAGTACTTAAAAGTCTGTTATTTTCCAATACAATCACCAACTATAAACAGGGCTAACACCGCGCCAAGATTTAAAGTTGCTGGGTATATGTAATTAGCAGATGGATTAAGATGTTCTCTTTTTTTTGCATGCATGAAGGAAGCCAGAGGTCATCCTAATAGTAACCAGAGGAAGTCCCTGGTCCCAAGATGGGGAGCACTTTGGAGAATAAGGGGGTTATTAACCCCATTTTCCACAACATTCTTTCGACTAGAGACTAACAAACTAATAATAAAGACATGCGATGGCTAGAGATTAATAAACTTTAGTTGTTCAAAAAATGAGTTACCGGTATACAGTATTTTGCACCTGGCCTTCAGTTTTTTAATTACTTACAGACCTGGTTATAAAATGGTCGTAAAGTGATTCCAGTTTCTACATGGCAACTGTTATCACGAAAACATTGCGTAACATTTAATCTTGTAATGCATACCTTCTTCTGTAAGGCTGGTGTTCTGCCGTACATTTGACTCGCCTTTGTTGAGATACTCAAAACTGGGTCTGAGTTGAAGTGCACCACATATGGGTGTTAGATGAAGCTCTCCTAAAAAACGAAAACATGACTAAGCAGGGTTTTCATTAAGAATTCTAGTAACAGGAGAAACGTGTAACGTTACAGGGGAATATCTTGAAAAAGGCTCCACATCTGAATAAAAATAGTCATAGGCTACCGAACGTTAGCTGGAGACTTTTGTGTAGTTCTCCGATCTGGCTAATGAACACCCTGCTAAGTTAACAAACACTACCATGGAGAACTACTGCTAAGGAGGTTCACTTGGATGATAAACAAAATAAATGATAACTGCAGTAGTAATAACTGAAGGTTATAGACTGCGGGCGACAATGAACCAGGGTCAAAACTCTTTTGCTCCAATGCTGTGCTTTTTATGTGATAGAGGGTCACAACAAGCATGATCAGATTACGAGAAATAGAAGGTACAAATGTGCATGATAAGATTGAGTTCTATCTGTGCCATTCATTCTTAGTGGAAGTCCAAATGAGACTGGCTACATATTATGTGGCTTCCTTCTCTTGCTGCCCACAAAAAAATCAGTTGATAAAAATTAATAATTATAAATAACAATAAATAATCATTAATTTAGTAATTAAATATACTTGGCTAACCGGAAGTGTTTAACAGAAAATTAGTGACCCAGTCTACTGTAAGTTGCACTTATTTATTTTTCACATAGAACAACAGTTACTGTTATCCTACCTTGTCTTAGAACACCAACAGCATAACGATTGGCATCCTCAGTGGCCAGAGATGATGTAAGAACTTGCTTGTCCATCTTATCACTATGATAAAAAACAAAACTTTTGACAATTTTTGACAAATGCATGTAAATTTTAGTCATGTTAAGAGTGATAATTATGCTATTGAAACTGTATAGTTATTATTTAAGACCAAATTTCTACAAGGTCTTCACTGGCAACTGACTGTGAGGATCACATACCCTAGTGGTCATACAATCTCAGCAGAAAATTTTTATCTACTAGCAGGTCAAGCCCCTCTTCTCATTTCAGAGATGGTATCCTTTGTTTTATACGGGGCTTCTGATATTTTGCGCGGTCGCAGACCCACGAAATTCAGGTATTTCCGCGAAATTCCCCAAAAAACGCGAAATACTGCGAAATCCACCAGAAATATTTCCAAATACATGTCAGCAAAACATATTTAATACTTATCTTGGCCATGAGACCTGTTTTATTCACCCCAAACATCCAAATTTATCTTGAAATTTCGTCACTGCAACGAGTAAACAACGTCCCAAAACTACCAGGCGTTTTTAGATGAACGTTGCGAAAAACTGGGCACTAACCATAATGTTAATAGCTTTAGCATTCGCTCATTTCTCGAGCAAACTTTTGTTGAAAGAGCAAATAATTATCACTGATAAAAAAAACGTTAAACAACGCTGGTCATGTCGACGCAAAATTGATCGATTTTAGCGAAATTTGCCCAAAACAATCCAGCGCAATTGGCTGTTTTTTACTGATTGTTTCTTAGCGAAGTTCCTCCCTGAAATTTCCTACGAAATCGGCCAATTTTTCTTCGAAATTTGACTTTTCTCCAGCGAAAATCCCGCGAAATTGGCCGATTTTTCTGTGAATTTTGACTCTTTTCGTGCGAAATCGGCCGATTTTTCCGCAAATTTGCCCCTGAAAATCCCGCGAAATATCAGAAGCCCTGTTTATAGCACAGGCAAAGGACAAAGGAAACCGGAGTTGCAAGCATTTACACGTAGCTAAGCCAATGAAGTTCTGTACAGTACCTTGTAAAAAAGGAACTTTTCTCTTCAGAAGTGGATGATGAGCTAAGGCCATCAACATCGTGAGCAATTTGTTCTCCTCTTGGTCCGTAATAGTTGGCACCACTTGTGTTTATTGCAAGTTCAACTTCAACCTACAAAAGTGATAATAACTGAAAAATTATTAACCTAGCTTATAAGACCACAAAAAGTTAACATTTCAAGTGATAGTCCTTCATTGCAAAAAATGACCAAATATCACTACATGTAAGCTTTGAACGGTCTCTACATCATCCTGCCCTTATTATGATAATTGCCTGCTTCTTTGTAGGTCAAATTAATATTACTGACCAAGCTGATAAGACCACAAAAAGGTTAATATTTCCAGTAATGGTCCTTTATTAAAAAAATGACCAAATACACTGTATCATTGAGCTTTAAAAAGTCTCTACATCATCCTGCCCTTTTCTACGTTGTGATTATTAGCTGCTCCTTTGGGAAGTATACTGCTTGATTTGGTTTAAACAAGCAAGTTGCACAAAACCATGCTTAGTTATTCTTCTACTTCACATGTAATTAACAGTAGTGATGTTCCAATAGTGATATTGTTACAAATAGTTGTGGTAAGTCCTGCAACTCATCTTGTGAAAAAACATGCATCCCAGTCCACAACCAATGAGTCCCAGTAAAAAAAAAGAGTCTGAAATTAAAAATGCTTAGGCCTTTATGTAACCAGACAGTTAATCTGAAGACCGACTCCAAAACTGCGTATTACAGTATACTGAAATTAAAATACAGTCCCTCTATTTTAAAGCACAACAAAGGATAAAGGAAATATACGTTGTTAAACAACAGCCATAATAACTGCCACAGAAATTATGCGAACGGGCCGGATATCTCTACAAATACAGATGTTCAGATCAATCTATCGATCTTTGTATCATACAGGACGCATGCCATGAATAATTTTGCACCTTTGGGGATTTTTAGGCATCAGGGATGCAGGATGCCCACGGCAGGTAACAAAATCACTGTTCCGATCATCAATTCTAATGGATCATCAATCCAAATTTTTAAGCAATGTGATAATTATTGATTGGGGAAAATGTTAAATTGATTATCGTTGGAAAAAAGTAAAATCCCACACGACAATCAGGGACAAAATTGGTTGAGACAATTTGCCCTAAAGGACATTTCAGAGGTCTGCTGGCTTCAAAAGGAAAAAATGAAGCTATCCCTTCCCAACTCCTTCCATTCAATGTTGTACATGTAGCTACACTGTATTTTATAAGAAACAACAAACACCTCTACTTTGAATGGATGGGAGGGGGAGGGATGTGGATTGATTTGTTCTCCAAAGTTTTACCACATGAAGACAGTGTCTCAACAATTTTGCTGCTAATTGTAGCCATCACCAACACATTTTGACAGAACTACATCAAGGTATAATACCTTTTGCTGTTCAGGTTTGATTCGGGCTCCAATATGTGGAACATTATCATAAGTCATGGTTGCTGGACGAACAGGATACTAAAGTAAAAAAAATAAAGAAACTTTAGGTTCATTAAGACTTATTGTTTTACAAGGCTTACTTTATTAACTGCCTGGATATCTACAGGTCACAAAAAGGTAGCTCCAAGTTTGGACCAAAACCAACTATATACACTTGCATGGTAAGATGTGGTCTTTGTGTAAATGCTATGGAATATTCTTAGGTGAATGTCAAGAAGCTCTGCCATTTGTTCTAATGTATTGGTAATTCACTAAAAATAAAAATCAAGGGAGCCCGTTACTTATGAGCCCAGTGGTTACTCTTGGAAACAAATTCTGTCAACCATTTCTTTTCAGGAAGTGGATGGAGATCAGTCTGAAGCATTTGTGTGCAGATATTGTGGCTCAAAGGGTAAAGTACTGACCGTAATAGTGTAACAGACCAATCCTAAGGTAACTGCACTAAATTCAGACGTAAATAATTTCTTTCGTTCAAATACACTAACTGGGCCATTGGTCATGAGTTTAACTCAATCCTTCACCCCTCAAGCAAGGCCTCGTTAACTTTTGTCTTCTTTTTGATCAAGAATGAGAAAAGGAGGCAGTGCCTGAGTTGGGTCAATACTTTCAAGTCACCACAGCTAAAACTTCTAATAATCAGTCTAGTTTTCTCTTATCAAACTAGTGTTTTTCAGTGCGAGCATCTGTTTACTGATAAGCCAATTATCATAACTGAGCCGGCTATTCCAAGCACACAGCTAAAAGGCCTGGGTTTGAAGGACCTTAGGCCCGGTTCAGACGCCGCTCCACTCATGTGCCGAACCTAACTGATGAATTAAGTATGGCAGAAAAGCAGCATCTGAATCAATTTGGTAGTGCAGTTTTAGTATGGTGTGGCAAAAGCATTAAGTTTGACAGAATCTGTCGAACTTAACTTAGGCTTGACACATGGAATGCCATCTGAATCAGATGTTGTGCCAGTGTAGCTCCAAAGTCGAACTTATTCAATTACATTGTAGGTTCAGCACATGAAAAGTACAGTGTCTGAACCAGGCCTTAGTTGAACCATGCAGTCTTCCCGGGGTATGTCAAAATCAAGCAAGCAAAAGAAAGGTCCTGCTAGCTGGATGCCAATACTTCAACAGACTGTTAAATGATAAAGCATGAACTTTACTCTGGTGTGTTCAGCTCTTTCAAGGTTACATTTTAGCCCAACACAGTTCCCATGGTCCATATCCCCCCCCGGGTGGTTACTCGTCATCTCGCCCCCACGTCATTTCACCCCGGTTACTTAGCCCCCTATTCTAGAACGAGGAATATTATATTTGAAGCATGCATGTTTTTGTTTACGGCTTAAAGAATGAGGAATATTACATTTGAAGTGCGCTTGCTTTGCTTTATGGCTTATAGAACAAGGAATATCATGTAAGAAGCATGCTAAATTACTCGAAAATAGGGGGCTAAGTAACTGCAGCAAAATGACTTGGGGGCAAAATGACTGGTTACTCCCTGGCTTAACGAGGTTCACACTTGCTCCTTTCAGCTTATACTGTATGATTATTAAAATAATTACACACTTTTAATATCTTCTGTAGCTGTACAGCACATGCACAAAATGAGATGAATAAACTACCACAGTATTCTTTTATTGCTGTCCAAGATATCTACTGAAGGCTAAGGAGGCTAAAGCCTCTTAAAACAAAAAGCCGGTAACGTAGGATTGACGTGCAATTTTGTGCAACTGTTTTATTTAGGCTTTAGCTTATATAACGTAAGGAGTAAGCGAAGCATCCTAACTATGCTAATATAATTAACACTTAGCTGTAAAACTACATTACTAGACTTCAAAGCGGGAAAAACAAAATAACATGCTCAAAGCTGCAAGTTTAATTTCCGCATGTTGCAAGTTTGGGAAAGAATTCAGCTGTCCTTACCTGAAACAAGTAGAGATTGTTGGCCAAAGCCTGGGCCAAATAAACGTCCACCTGTTAAAGAGAGCAAGATATATGCTTTATGAACAGTACTGTCTCTTTAAACTGTGCAAGGATCTTCAAAATCGTGAGATAAACAAACCTCCGCAACAACGGGGTCGTCATCCTCTTCGTCCGCCATGTTTTTTCACCATTGTGCACAACACATGCGCAGTACCCACGTGCAAAATTGTTTCCAGACGCTCGTCCCAGTCTACCCTGGGTTACAGAGGTTATTTTTCTCTTAACAAACAGTGAGCACGGCTTAATTCATGCTAGGTATTTCTTAGGTATTTCGGGGCGGCTGTACACAGGGTAGTCAAGTATGAACTCCAGCAACAAGAGAAGAGAGTTTTGGTACTCATCCATCTCACGCAATTTGCCCAATTTTCATATGAATTGGTTGTGCTAAGGGTTCCAGGGTTACAGCGGCACATCCCCACCCAAAATTCCTTAAGTACTCCCCAGGGACTAATTGCTTATAGCTTGCCTGGTCTCGGATAGGTCATCCAAACACGTGACCGTAGATTGCCGCTCAGCGGCTGCTAGTGCGAAAGCACGGCCACAAAGAGAGGCGGCACCCACGTTCCAATGGTCTTTCCTCCCCTTAACTACGTCATATTACGTCGTCCTAAAGTTGTCAAGGGAAATATTTTGGGATTGGGGTTGGAGGAGAATGTACCAATGTAAGGAAAAACGAAAGTCACGTTTGAAGAATTTCGATTGATATATTACTCCTGTCAATCCATTTAGCCAAGTCACGTCTGTGGACGAACAGAGTTTTCAGAATCACGGGGTTTTGCTTCTAGTGTCCCTCTCTCTTCCCTTACCGCACTGAGGTAAAAGTCATCAAGTTATGAAACGTTAAAACGTCAGGTGGGACAGAGATCATAGAGTGCTTTGGCATCAGCGACGGCAGAGAAAACGTCACTTTTAAACTGAATTCGGGTTTTTTCAAACTTTGCCGCGTTTATTCAATTCGCTGAAAATGTCAAATGTCGGCGAATTTCTCTGGAGTTGATTTCTTGGGGACCGCAGTCAAGTTTACTAAGAAAAAGAAAAATTCGTCCGTCGACGCTTGTTTACGTCCTCCAGAAAACGTAAAACTGGCATTTTCACGTCTTAGTCTTGCAGCTACCGCAAAGAAATGTACAAAAAAGTGAGATGCAGGTGCAAAGTTGTTGTTTCGATCAACAAAAGTATTGCTTTTTTACGTTCTCGCTGTCCTCATCGTCGTAGTTGCTAAAGCCCCTCGTTATTCAAGACAGGCGGCATGAGGCATGTTGGTTGCTAATGAAAGGTTAATTTAAAAAAAGCAAAACCTAAAACTGCCTCGAAAAGAAAGAGTTTCTCTCAAATAAAACAACAACAACAACAAAAATTTCAAATAGATGGTGCAAACGGTGCACAATAAACAACTGAAAACTCACTGTATTTTCGGCTAGCAAAACAGTACAAGATATTTTTCTCCAGAGGGAAAACACATTGTAAGCGATGACCGAAAATTGAAGAATCGCTATCTATGGTACCAATGCATTTCAAAAGTCCTATTTTACGCCCGACAATCCCAGTTTTTTCATGTTCTTCACTGAGAAGCTTCATGTGATGGAGTCAACTAGCATAGCCTGCATGTCTTCCAGGCTAAGTTTTTTTTTGATATTCGATAAAAGAAAAGCAGGGGGTACGCAGGTGCTTTTTAAACAGTTGTTAGTTAAACAGTTGTTTTCTTTATAGACTGTCGTTTAGCGCATCCCCGTCAACTCTTCTTACACAGGAACACCAATGCTTTGCAGTCCAGTATCTCAAAAATGGGTTTGTCGCTGTTTTCTTTGCCCTGTGACATTCACCTTGAGCCTTGGTTAACAGATGCTTCATCTGAATGCCAAAGGTTCGTCATTGCTGGCCGTGCAATTTATTAAGTTTTTAAGATCTGGTTCTGGCAAGTATAATCAGTCTCTTAAGGGTTTTCAGTCCTCAGCTATCCAACAACTGGTAAAGCACCAACAAAAGATATGTGATTGTTGGTCCCAAGTGGGCACACTTGGGAAAAGTGTGAATGATAAACATATCCAACGGCCGTTGGCGGCCTGCAATATAGTAACTCAGAACAGATTTGAGCCCCTTAGAAGTGAGGTACAATTCCAAGTGAGAAATGAGGACAACTATACTGCAAATAACGAAGAAAGTCGCCAACAACAGCAACAGCAACATTCACATGTTGATTCATCTGAAGCGAGCCGGGCATTTGATTCAATTCCAACTAGTCATAACCGCTATCAGGCCTTACTTGTCTCTTCTCCTTCGAGTCAAGTATCCTCTGAGATGCCACTGCATCAGTCTGGAGCGCACGCAAATACCTCTCGAGTTAGTGCAAATAACTCCAAAAGCGGTGAAGTCGGAAAGACAAGACCCATAGTGCTTATTGGTGACTCAATGATAAAACACATTGATCCAAAAAAGCTTTCGCAAAGACATGTACATAAATTCTCATATCCCGGGAAAACCACTGCTGAAATAGCTGAAGCTGTTGACAACATCGCTGTTGCATCCGCGGATCCTTCTCACGTCATCATCCATACTGGCACCAACAATCTTCCGTCGGAGTCTGCCGATTCATGTGTCGCCGATATCAAGAGCCTTGTATTGAAGGTGAAGAGCAAGTTTCCTAACTCAAGCATTGGTCTCTCGGGTATAGTCTACAGAGAAGATATCAACGTCGATGCTAAACGCATTGAAGTTAATGAGAGGGTCAAGCTCACAGCAGTAGATAATAACTTTACTTATATTGATAATTCGGTTATTGACGCCTCAGCATTAAATGGTAGTAGACTTCATCTGAATGCCAAAGGTTCGTCATTGCTGGCCGTGCAATTTATTAAGTTTTTAAGATCTGGTTCTGGCAAGTATAATCAGTCTCTTAAGGGTTTTCAGTCCTCAGCTATCCAACAACTGGTAAAGCTTCTGATGGAACTGGGAAACCTTCCCTCTCCAGCTCGCAACAGGAGACGCCCACGCTAGCTTCTCAACCGAGTGACGTATCATCAGGTATTCCTAATCAAAACGTTGATTCATTTGAAAGTACAATTCTCTCTGATTTTCTTCCTTCTGGTCGTGGTTTTAAAATTGCAGGTTTAAACATTAATAGTCTTACAAAGCATATTGATGAACTAAGAATTCTCCTTGCCGATCGCTCCATTGATATTCTCTCAATTAATGAAACTAAACTTGATGACTCTATCAATAGTTGTGAGGTCCAAATACCAGGCTATGAATTTATTCGTCGTGATAGAAACAGACAAGGAGGAGGAGTAGGTTTTTATATAAAAACCTCGATTAATTTTGGAGTTCGCTCTGATTTGAATGCACCCAGTCTTGAAAATTTATGTATAGAGATTCGGAAACCAAACTCCAGGCCATTTCTGATAGCCACTTGGTACAGACCTCCTTGCTCCTCAATTGATTTATTTTTACCTTACGAATCATTTCTTGAGAAATTAGATTCCCTCGGCCTAGAATATTATCTGCTAGGTGATTTAAACTGTAACCTGGCCTCTGCACAATATGATTTAAATACTCGACGCTTATGTGAAATTTCTGATTTATTTGGGCTTCAACAGCTTATAACTGAACCTACTCGCATAACGGAATCCTCTTCAACATTAATTGATTTAATTTATACAAACTATACTGACAGGGTAGTCTGTTCCGGAGTCTCTCATATTGGTATCAGCGATCATAGCCTTATTTACGTTTATAGGAAATTATCTCTCACTTTTCCTTCAAAAGGGCACTCAACCATTTCTTATAGAAATTTCCAAAATTTTAATAGAGAGAGTTTTCGGAACGATATCGCCCAGCAAGACTGGTCCTGTAATGTTTCTGAAGATCCAAATGTTTTGTGGACTAACTGGAAAACGAAGTTTTTGGATATTGTTAATATTCATGCGCCACTCCGAACTAGACGTACTAGAACAAATAAAGCACCCTGGATCAATTCAGAATTAAAGAAAGGCATGCGTGATCGTGATGCTGCCAAAAGAAAAGCAATTACATCGAATGATCCACACGATTGGAAAAGGTACAAAAAGTTGCGAAATATAATAAACAATGACATCAAAATTTCTAAAGCATCTTATTATTCTAATGCATTTATTCAATCTAAGGGTAATCCTCGAAAAACGTGGCAAACCTTTAATGAGCTTACATCCCGTCGTGTGAATAATACAACGGTGAAGGAACTGAAATTGAATGATACCATTATCTCTAATTCTAGTGAGCTTTCTGATGCTTTTAATGACCATTTTTCAACAATTGGGCCCAGACTTGCTAATGAAATACCTCTAACTGCTGAAAATAATTCAAGTTATATCAATAATATAAAGGTAAATAACAACAATTTCAGCTTCTCCTCGACTAACTGCAGCATTGTTTTCTCACATCTAAACAAATTATGTAGATCTAAAGCAACTGGTCTTGATAATATTTCTGCTAAAATTGTACGTGAATGTGCTGATCTTATTTCAGTTTCACTATGTGATCTCTTTAATAAATCTTTAGTCTCTGGTATATTTCCTGATGATTGGAAATGTGCTAGAGTTACTCCGTTGTTCAAGGAAGGTGAGCCATCTGATCTGAATAATTATCGACCTATTTCAGTCATTTCCGTTA